CAGGTCTTAAGCCTCAAATGTTTTGAGTGTACCTCCGATACAATCATAAATGTAAGCCTGTTAAGATCATTAAGAAAATAAATGTGTGTGAATGCGCTTCAGTGTTTGTAACATAACAGACTGTCAGTTTACTGGGATGGGGTTCAACTCCCTGCAGTGTCCTGCTGATTGTATTTGGACTTACATGAAAGTTAACAAAACGGTAGTGCCATTTGCTGTTACTTGAACACTTTAATTTAACACCGTTTTCATTTTAAGTTCTTCTGTAACTTTAGATTGTAGTGTGAAGCATTCATTGTAACATTTTACCTGATTGTCATGTAGAAGCTCTGGACAGATCATTTATGCTAATGCCCACCGACAGTGGCTTGACAACCACTTTTATCTAATTTCTGCTCTCCAAGCATCTTACTATGCACATATTTATATCAGAGAAGTCATTCTTTTCTCATTGTGTGCCCACAAACCCTTTCAATAAGGTCAGTGTTTGGGGCGCTGTATTTATAGAATCCTGCTTACGTCCGTGCTTATCAGTAGGTGGCGCTATGACAATGAGTTAATATTGGCATGCAAAAGTCCTAAAGCCATGACAGTGAACAAGCATGTCAAGTTTGGGACAGTTTTGACAAAGCACAGTCGAGTTACAACAGCTTGATGGATGATGGTGAACCATGTAAAATGGCCGTCACACCATATCCACGTCGTTCGATGAAACCTAAAGCTTTTAGTAACTTTTAATCGTTAAGGTCTTTACATTGTTCTGACCAAATTCTAAGCTGATCGGATTAATTCCCTAGGAGGAGTTCGTAGTACAGCACCTGGAAATGGAAAAAAAACACGAGAAATTCATACAAAATTCAAAATGGCTAACTTCCGGTTGGGTTTAGAGCATGGTCCCAAGAGACTTTATTTTAAGTCCACATGTGATACATGTGCCTACCACATTTTGTAAATCTATGTGAAACGTACAGCGAGGGCTGCTTCGTTGAAATTTTGTAGGGGGCGCTATTGAGCCGATTTGCCACTCTGAACCAATAAAATCATATTCCATAACTAAATTTTGGGCTTGTAATCTGCTTGCCAAGTTTGCTTATGTTTCGAGCATTTTTAGCCTCTCAAAATGACCTTCATTGTTAACGGCGAAGACTGCATCGCCACGGCAACGGCGTTCGACGAAACATCAAAAGCTTCATGAACTGGTATTATGAACTTCTTACATTTGCGTGGAAGTAATTTGATGTTGATTTGATTTACCTACTAAGAGAAACAAGCCAAAGTATAATGACTTTAACTTCCTGTTACCAGTAGGTGGCGCTATGACTATGATTCAAAATTGGCCTGCAGATGTCTTCAGGCCTGGAGTCTAATCAAACATGTGCAATCTGGTAAAGATCTGATGATGTGGAGTTGAGTTACATCAGTTTATTCGTTTATGGCGAGGGGATCGAAATTCGCCGAGCCGCCACGTCGCCGCCCTTCAACAACTTCTTACAATTTTCACAATGAAGCATTATCAAGGTCTTAAGGCTGTTCTGACAACATTTTAGAGGGATCTGATTAATCTGTGAGGAACAGGATGTCAAAGTACACAACTTACAACTTCCAGTTGCCACTAGGTGGCGCTATTACTATGATTCTAAAATATCATATAGATGTGTTCCGGTTCAGGATGTTATGACATATGAGAGATTTGGAGCAGATTCGACAATGTACGGCCGAGTTACAACCACTTCCTGTTTCGCGGCAAATGGTGTTTTTTTGACGCCACGCCACGGATACATAGTTCGATAACTTTTTGATCTTTGAGTAACTTTTCACTGCTAAGGTCTCAAGAGCATACTGACCGAATCTGAAGTCAATCGGGTCTAATCTCTGGGAGGAGTTCGTTAAAGTATGACGCCTTGAAATGGTCAAAAAACATCATAAAAGTCAAAATGGCCGACTTCCTGTTTGGTTTAATGAAAAACTCCAAGAGGATTTTTTGTGCGTCTCATCACGTTCCACATACCTACCAAATTTCATACAGCTAGGTGAAACCCGATGTTGGGGCTACTCAATAGGGGGCGCTATTGAGCCAATATTTCATACCGCAGCTGGACACCCCAATCAGACTGCAACTCGGGCCCTAATAATTCCTACAGTTTCAATAGGGACCTCGCGGCCCGACGTTGTCGGTGCTCGGGCCCTAATTAACACTAATGGTGACACCCGCCCCCCAAAACAGATCTCCATACAACTCACTGGGCAGTGTGTTCTGATACAGTAACGTTACATACAGTACATTGTTGGATGTTACTGACGGCTCATGTCATGGATAGGACGGTTCTCTCTTGCACCATTCATCCTATGGCTGCCGACAACATGGAGATAAACACATAATCACTGGGATTTTGTGAGAGTAACAGCTGTTTAGGCAGTTTGTGATGTTGTGAAAGATTAAGCAAGGACAAGTCATTCAGGAGCAATACAGTAGGGTGGATGGAACGACATAATTCAAGTCCTTAGTCAATAAGGAGCACACTATTGAGAGAAACGACCTTACAGAACCAAAACAAGTCTGTCTGTATGGTGACAGAGTGAGTTTCATTAAGAAACTTTTGATTGGAGTTTTTGAAGGTATGTGCTATACCTTTCCAAATGTGATCCCAGTCCAGTGGCACATTCTCCCGTCAGGTGTTCTTCTTTGGTCCAGACCCGTTCGTTCTACACGAAGATACAGAAAACAAGTACAGTTTTGATAGTGAACCCTTTCTTTGTTCTTTTGTATTTAAGATAGAATGCAGGTGATGTGTTTCATTCCACACTGTATGCTTGAAGCAATGATTTTAGTTGTAGAAAACAATGAAGCCCCAAATAATAGTTGTTAACAGTGAGTGTGATACACATGCTGGTGCTGCTGTGGGAGCAGGAAAAGAAGTGGGAGGAACAATAGCCTCCATGGCCGAACAGAGAAAGAATAGAGCGCCACCTACAGAACCTTTTAAATTCAGAAAATAAATTGAACAGAAATGACAGTACCACCCACATTGATTGGCAAGTGATCTCTGATTTCAGTGCAGAAAAAGCAGCAAGTACACGCTAACTAAAGCAGAGGACAAAAGTGATAAACGGAAACTTCTCAAAGCTTAGATTTCAAATAAAGGGGACATTGAATATATCATTCCATTGACGTTTTATGTATTTTTGAATGTCTGACACAAGTGAGCACTTGTGTAAGGAGTTGGCCACTGCATGAAGGAACACAAACATTTGGGGCAGGGTGCTATCATGTCTGCACCCTGCTGTTTAGACATAAAAAGTCCATTTTCTGTGAGAAAATCTACATGCGGAAAACGGTTTCTGTCCCACTTTAAAGTGGATTGCACATGTTGAATGGAAGCGCTCACTCCTGCTCGTACTGCGGGTTGTTCCAGAGGAGCTTTGATAAAACAGCAATGATCAGACCGATGCTCGGGGGGGGGTAGTCTTTGCTCACAATCAAGGTTGCACACTCACACATGTGAGGAGCTAGATTCGTACGTTGTTTCCCTTTTTTCCTTCCTTTCTGTCCTCAAAGAAGGGTTTCTTTTCCACCGCCATGGTAACCACAGTTAAGTTTTATGTACAATATATAAATATATATATATATATCGTTTGGATCACCCTACAGTACTTCAGGTTGTTCCCTCGCTGCTCCGCTAATAAGATTTACAAGGTATCCCTGCCTTTCATCATTTTATTTTTCTCCCGTTGAAACATTTATGGGCCTTCATAAAGAAACACACCATTAGGGCTGAGGGGCTCCACAGTACAGTAAGTGTGGTGTTAATAAATCATGTTTAATAAAAAGAGACATCCAAACAGGGCAACGGCCCCCGTCATAGTCCAAAGCCAGCAGGCATGAATATTTACGTAGGGACATCTGGAAATAACAGAGCGACGTTCAGGCCCCTCAACAATTTATGATGTGTTGGTGTGGGGACGGACCTACCTTCAGTTCAGAGGGACGGACATGAGAGAGAGGAGGAAGGGAGGGTGATGCTTACTCTGCCATATGAAGAGCTTGAACGGGCTGAACCCTGAGGAGGACCATGCAGTTATAATTAGATGGTGTCACGCCTGCAGTGCATGTGTAAAGCGACTGATAGATCACACACGTTCATGAATGAGCGCATGAACGGTTGGACAGATGGATGGAGAGAATGATGAATGACAAGTTCAGAATTTATGTTTTGCATCATTTTAATATGGCAATTTATGAAAATGGATTAAATGATGTTGCGACACATTCTCACTCCCACCTCGTCAAAAACCGCAGCTGCCTCCTAGAGTCAGCGTCGGACGTGTCAGGACGGCGCGTCTGTGGCCGCTTGTTAGGCGCATACAGTTCCTTTGCAAAATAAACTTCCAAATCTACTTAGATTTTAGGTTTAGTTGCGCAACAAAAGCACTTGGTTTGGTTTAGGAAAAGATCATGGTTTGTGTTAAAATAAGTATGTTTGTTACTTAAAAAACCTCCCCTCGTAAAATATGGAAGCAACGTAACAAAATGAAGATTAAAGCTCAACGTTGACTTGGTTTGACATTGGACATGAACACCGCTCTCCTGGGTGAAAGTCTTGTTTTCGTCTTGCCTTGTCTCTCTCTATCAAATAAAGAAGGATTGACTAAAAAATCATCTATAGAGGAGGAGATCAAACATTTTCCATTTGTATAAAAGCATAAATATAGATTTAGCAGGCCAGTTGTATGTGCCAGTAGGTCTCCTTTACTCGGGAATGATTTCAGATAACAGGAATCCAAATGTACCTTTCTTTAAATGACAGCGAGTCAGTCCGTCATGTACATCAGTACAGCACATGAAGCCTTACATCCAAGTGTTCCAAACATCAGGTGTGAACTGCATGTTTCACAAGGAGAGGAAAAAGTCCTGGATTTGAAGGAACACGAATCCAAATTAAAGATAATATTTCAGTGCTGTCTGTCGTGTGTTTAACAGCTTGTTTGTGCCTTCTCTGCAGATGGAGGTGGATGCAGACGATAAGCACCATCGAACACGCTCCAAAGGTATCAACACACACACACACACACACACACACACAGCGGCACTGCCATTCAGGGTGACCTTCACCCTCCCAACACAAACATGCACAGACACAAGCACACGCACATACTGTACACACACCACTGCACAAATCCCAGACTGTCACAGTTGAGTTGCCTCCTCTCTCTCTCTCTTCAAAATGAAATGTCTGCCACAGTGACACCTAATCCTGCTAAAGCGATACATAGTGCAAAGTGAAAACAGATTATGGAATTAAAAAACAACAAGTAACACTCAGTTTTAGCTGATAAACCGGTGAGACTTTTTCATATTTTATGACACTTTATAGCTCATAGCGGTGGCCAATGACATTATGTTGTCAGGTTGTCTGTCCGTACGTTCGTACACACGTCTTCACGTCCGTACACCTGTCTGGTCCGTGCTCGAGAATGCGATATCTGGGGAATGCCTTCAGCAAAATGTCCTCTTAGACCTCTTAGAATTAGACTGGAGTCATTGTGACTTGAGTTGACTCGAGTCACTGTTTTGATAACTCGCAACTTGACTTGATAGAAGACAAAGTCTGCGTTCATTTTGAAAAGAATATTCTTTGATCAAGATGAAATAAAACAACTAATGTTTAATAAAGTTGCTTTTTTTGTTTGATTACATTTATTTCATCGAATATCAATAATTGTAATACAAATTCAATTGATTGTTGTAATTTTTGAAATGATTCGATAACTAGGCCAATAATATCATTATTAGACTAATACCTGGCAGGAGGGGGACTGAACTTAGGACTCCACTTGACCTGACATAACCTGTGACTTGACTGGCCCATGGAAAAGTGACCTGGGACTTACTTGATACTAGGACCAAATGACTTGAGTCACACGTCAAAGCCCAAAACTTTAGCATGCTCTCGCCAGCCGCGCACACACCCTGCATGGAGGAGGAGTTCAGTGGTCTCCAGGGTGTTTCACAGTCAGTTCAGCACCGAATGTTGGAGGGAGAACACTAGCTTTCCTTTAGCTTTTGGAGACATTTAATGACATATTACGTGCGTGCACCTTAAACTCAAAGAAAGACTAAAAAATGTTCACTTGCCCTCATCTGACTCCC